CTCCAGAGTTTCACTGTCCTCTCTGCATGCTCTACATTCGTCTGAATCCGCACATCCAATTGTGTATAGGTGTGCCCGCAATGCTGTGTGTCCATTAAGAATACGTACCATCAGGCTTCTCGTCCTTTTCTCGTTAGGGTCACCCCATAGGATCTTTGTGGTTCTACCCACGGTTTCATTATTCCAAGAGGCCTTATGGGTTTCTCTCAGCCATCATTTTAATTCTGCCCTTGTTGCGTCAAATGGTTTTGTGTTCGTCAGGTTAACTACCTCGAGCTCCTTTTCCTTTAAAGCTGAGCCATTTTTGATTATCATGGTTTTCACAATCTCTTGCACTTTAAATTTCCGATCGGCTAAGCCTATATCGTTAATTGTTTGGGCAGTAAAGAATTTAACTGGGTTTCTAGAACTTTCGGAATCTATCAAGCTTGTACAAACACTGATGACCTTTTAAATAGCAGATATTTCTGCTTAAAGAAGACTACAATAGTGTGCCACAATATCATGCCAACTGCAGTTTCAAAAATGATCTAATCCGAACCCATCTATGAAGAATTAACCATCCATCTTTCGTCACCTGAATCTATCTACTAACAATAAACACAAAGTTATTGTACTTCTCATAAATATCGAGACATATCAGAGTAACTGATCGCTACCGTTTTATGGAGTGGTGAGATACGTAGATAAAGAGCAATTATCTAAGAAGCATCATGCCAATACGCAAATTTGGAGTCCACATTTACTTCATGTAAGCTCTAGTTTATATATAAAGTATAGACTTCTAATGTCTCTCTATATATTTCATTATATCGGATAAGTCAGGTTGATAGGGGAATGTATCTACATTCCTTTTCATGGAAAATTGTTTGTTGGTTAAAACAAACCATCTGAAACTCAGTTTTCTGATTATTTTTTATTTTAAGAAGGTGATCCCAGATCCAAACCAATTCTGAGTATTCTCCTAATGAAAAGTGCACCTGACTTATTATTGCAATTTATCTAGCTATCTAGGTTTCTAAGAAATCTATTTTCCGGTTTATCACCAATTTTTCACTAGAATTTCATCTAAAATACAAATATTTTAGTTCTTTTAAAATAGCTACTTCATCCGAGATATCACTTGAAATCTGGGTTTCACTATAAATTCGAATATTCACCAAAAATCCAAATTTTTATTCAAAAAGTCATATATCACTAAAATTACAATATTTCACTAAAAATCCAACTTTCACTCCAAATTTAAATTTTCGCTTAAATTGTCATATTTCACTAATATTTCAATATTTCACTAAAATTCGTAATTCACCAAAATTACAAAATTTCAGTAAAAATTCTAATTTTACTCAAAAATTCATATTTCACCAAAATTTCAAAATTTCACTAAAAATCCTAATTACCCTCAAAATTTGAAGTGAAATTAATATTTCACTAAAATTACAAAATTTCACAAAAAATCCCAATTTCACTAAAATTTCGAAGTCAAATTCATATTATCATTCAAAAATGCATATATCACTAAAATTACAAAATTTCACTAAAAATCCCAATTTCACTCAATATTCGATTTTTAGTGAAATTCAACTTGGTTATTCTAAAACTTCTCATCAAAAGTAAAAAATAAAGTTTAACATTTAATTCTTTTAAATATCTACAATGATTTATTGCTTTCCATCGCAAGTTGTTTTGCGAAAACAAAGAGTTTTGGCAACACTGAAACATTTACTCAATAAATAACAACAATAAAGGACAAAACGAAAATGAAGATAAAAACATAAACTCAAACAATCACTCGAAGACACACATTCAAACGCATAAATGCACACGTTTCGCCCAAAACGAAGAGAATCAAATTGGAATTTAGGGCGTTTCGCCGGCAAACAAAGAAACAACAACATAAAATGCAAAAAACACTAAAAAACATGCTGCCAATGTTCCGGTTTAATGAAGAAACCGATAATAATGATGATTAAAAAAACTTTAGATAAATTAAAATAAAACATAATAGAGAATTTGAACAACGAATAAAAACAAGTTTTAGAAAAGCCCTAAAACAAAAACATTTTACACTAAAAACAATAAAAACGATTTATTTATAAACAAAATGAATCAAAAACAACAAACTGAAGGAGTGTAGGCGTTGTACAATACACAAATAGAAGTAAAAAAATACAATTTGGCTACTTAGACAAACGGACAGGGGGACTAGGAACGTAGATATAAACTAAAAAACAAAAGTTGAATAAATTACGAAACGGCAGAGGCAAAAAAAATTGATTTAAATGCGAAAATATGAAAACAAAAAAATATAAATTATTAAAAAACACAACGAGCAAATACCTATTAAAAAAGAGGAGAAAAAGCTTGGTTAAGACAGCAGCAGGCGAAAACAACTGCAGCCAGCCACACAGCTGGTCTAGTAGAAGTTGAGACAGACATATAGCAGCAGCTGTCCATACCAACTAAATCTAGAGAGGAGACAACAAACGCAAAATGTTTTCATACACATTAAATAGATGGATGAATGGTTGAATGTATTAGGTGCCTGGGTGATCCACTAACATAAATACAATTAACAGAGAATAGAGGCAAAGAAAACATAATGGTGTCTGACTTTTCAATACGCTTTTTCGACACAAACTTCCTGGACGGGGAAAGGAGAAGCCAACAGATAACTTATTGCCTGGGTTTATATTAGAACTTACCTTAAGTTAAAGTAAAATTTCCACTATTTGTGGCAGCTTCCTCTGGAGAAAATATATTTTCCAAATAACACTTTTTTACACTTTGTTTCTTTAACACTTTTGTAAATTTATAAACTTTTGTTTGTTACAATTGTATGTTTAATATTTTCAAAATGGCCTAACTTTTGTTTGTGGCCTTTAATTTTGGCTAAAAAAAAAGAAACACTGCACTGCACTTACTAACTGCTAGCAAATCTTACTTTTTAGTTATCTTTATTTTTTGCGTTTTTTAATATTTCTTGGTATTTTTATCTATATTTTATGTGTGTTCTACTCCGTTTTTTTTTCTTGTAGCATTCTCTATAGAATTTCTGGAAACTTTTTCAGACACTCGCGACGTTCGTTTTCAAGACATTTTTTCGTATTATCCAATTTCAACGTTATCATTTCATTATAATTTCATTTTCTATTGAATTCTCTTATAAATAATAAATAAATTTTACAATTTAATGCACAGACGTCGCGGAATTTTTTATTTTTATCTATAATTACACTATTATTTGCAGATTCGTCTTTTTCCCAACTTAATTTGTTGACATTTTGTTTTGTGTTCGTCAAAAATGGTATTTGACAGTTCATAAGCAGTGGCTTTTAAACTGTTGCTTTAATGGAGGAATATTTAAACAAATGTGTCTTGGCTAATATGTTTATGTGAGAGACATCTGGTGGTGAGTAGTAATCGTAAAGAAAAAAGTATTGCTACACAGAAGACAGAAAATCACTTAAATGAAAAAATCGCATGCTTTATTATATTGGAGAGAAATTTTTAAAAGAATTCAGCAAATTTTTATTATTTATTCAGAAATCTAGAAAATTTTATAATGGGGTTTTCCATGGGACATTTGCTTCATCTAGATAATTAGCAAAGATTAGAAATTAAACACATTTTCGACATTTTTTCATTTAAAATAACGTATTTTTAAGAAAATCTAAATTTTAATTGAGAATTTAATTTTCCCCAGAAATTCAACCTTTCACATCATTTTTCATTGTTATTTTCTGCAGAGAAATAAATATTTATTATTAACTATGTAATAAAATCCGATTCTTTAGTTAATACACGATTTTGTTTGTAAGGTCGCCTACAGAAAATGATTTTAACGTGTAATAACTTATATAAAAATGCCAGTGTAGCAATAAAATATAACATGATCGAGTTTTATATCAATCGAAATCTTAAAGGTTATGAGGTTAATTGATTTTAACGTTTTTTACGGACTTAATAATACCATAATAAAATAAGTTTTGTTGAAACGAAACGCACAAAAATGGCTTTCAAATGTGGATGTAATAATGGAATTCGACGAAAAAAAAGCTTTTTTAGGAACCAAAAACTATATTTATGATACCTAAAATTATGGTTAACGGTCCGCCAATATAACCCTCTTACAGAAAATCAATTTATAGTTAATACATCATTCCAAAAATATAGCCTTATGATAGAATTAAAAAAATACTTTAAATTATAGAGATCTTGGTCCATAATTGACCAACGCTGACGTTCATATTAATCTAATGGTCAAACTCCATATACCTATATGACCACTTCCGAAATTTGCTTTTTACAACATATATGTATGATGCTTTTCAAAGTTTTCGGGCTTTAGAAGCTGCAAGTTACATACCACGCGTCATTTTGATCTTTCTTTTAATGTTTTTAAAACTATTACTGTTTTAAAAATGAAAATTTTAAGATTTTGTTCATTTTTTTAATATTTTTCTTTGATTGTTGGTGAAATTTATTTCAATTTAGTTTATTCTTATTCTACACAAAATAAAACTCATCCCTGATCAGTTGTCGACGCGTCAAAGGTGGAAGTACACAACACGCGTTGTACGCGGCAACGCGATATATGCTTTTGTCAAAAAAAGTTGAAATAGTGTATTTTTATTTAACAAGTTACACATTGTAGTTTGTAACGCGTCTGCTGTGAAAAGTTCAACAACTTTCAACTTTTGACGCGTTGGCAGCTGATCAGGGTTGTGTTTTGTTTTGTGTAGAAACTAAAATGAAATAAATTTAACTTGCCGCTTATAAAGCGCGAAAAGTTTTAAAAGCGTGAAACGCGTTGCCGCCTCAACGCGTGTTGTGTACTTCACCTTTATAAATTATATACAAAATCCCACTTTTTTATCGCTCGGATTCCGTTTTTATTTAAAATCTTTGAAAATTTAAAAATTTTGCGTATTTGAGAACTTAGCCGGCTTACAGTCGATCTTAAGCCGCCGCCGATATTTTTAGTGTCAGCCGCCGCAGCCTTTAATATTTGTCGGCGCAGGGCTCTGAATAGACGCCGAAATTTTTTCTTCCATCACATTTCTCTTTTGCTAAAATAAAATAAGTTTACTCTGCTTGTGAAAAACACACAGTGATTTAGGAAAAAACGAACAGTGAAATACAAGTATAATACATATATAAAACAGGTAAATTATTAATGAAAATATTGCGCTAAAATCGTCAACTAAAGCATCTTTTATATAGATTTGCTTTTGAATTGAAATTAAATTGTCAAACAAACAAAATGGCTGACATTTCTACGGAAGAGTTGAAAAATGAAATCCATGCAGTCTTAAAGACAGCCGATTTATCGGTGGTCTCGGCCAAGAAGGTGCGTGAACAAGTGGAGAAAAAGTTGGACTGTTCGTTGCTCAGCCGCAAGAAGGAGTTTGACAAAATTGTGATGGATTTCATAAATGATCAGCAAGAAGACGAAGAATCAGAAGAGGATGACAAAGATGAAGACGAAAGTGCTTCCGAAGAGGAGGCCAGCAGTGAGGAAGAAAAGAAGCCGGCAAAGAAACGTCCCCAACCTACACAACGCAAAGCAGCACCCCCCAAGAAGAAGCGTAAATCTTTGACAGCTTCTGACTCCGGCTCCGAATCAGATGCCGGTTCGGATTCAGACTTTGAAATGCCCAAGAAAAAGGCGGCCGCCAAAAAGAAGAAGGCAGCCGGTGAGAAGCCAGCGGGAGGTCGTAAATCAACCGGTTTTACCAGATCCTACAATTTGTCGCCGGAATTATCCGCCCTAATGGGTGCTGAAGCTTTGCCCCGCCATGAAGTGGTCAAGAAAGTCTGGGCCATTATTAAGGAACGCAACTTGTACGATCCGAAAAACAAACAATTTGCCATTTGTGATGATGAACTTATGAAAGTAATGAAGGTTAAACGTTTTCGTACCTTTGGTATGTTGAAACATTTAAAGCCCCATTTCTTGGAATAAGCAAACGAGGATCGAACTTGAATACACCCCGCGGGCGTTTAATGGTTATTAAACATTATATGGCCATTTAGATATACTACTAAAGCAAACAAGAGTTTTAGTAATTTTAAAATTTAAATTTTTTTATAATTTTAATATTTTTTTTATAATTTACCCCCTTTTTTCCTTTTGCAGTTAATTGTGACAAATTAAATTTATTGAAAAGAGAGAGAGAGCAAAAAATGTAGTAATTCTTAAAAGCGAAAGTATAAAATTAAAATTATTAAACTTTATAAAAATTAATTAATAAAGCATTTCTAAATGTAGTATTTTAAGTTATTTTCTAAATAATTAAGAAATTGTATTTTTTTGTTTGTTTGACTGCATTTACGCCTTTTTAGTCGTAAAGGAAAACATTTAACAATTTAAGAAAGTATCTTGAAGAAAAAACTCAGTGTATCCGCAATAAACTAAAAATAAAAATAATTTCCATTTATAATTATTTTTCTTAAGTTCTTTTGATATTTTACATTTAAGAGAAACAATAAAATTAAAAGAAAAACAAAAAAATAAAACTTAAAATGCTTCAATTTAAATTAAAAATAATTAACTTTATTTTGTTAATAAGGGTAAATTTCTTCACTTAAAGACGATCTTTTACTAAAACCCATAAATTAGAATTTTCCCTACAGCTTAATAATCTACTGGGAAATAGTTTCACTAAAAAGGAGTTTTTCGCTGAAATTTGGAAGTGAAATTCTCATAAAAAATTGTTTATTATAATATTAAGATTTAGTGAATACCTATCAAGTCTGGTTTAAATCGAGTTTTACAAGCTTAAACTTACTGTTTTTTCGTCGTTGCTCCGACAAAAACAGTTATATGTTTTTTGTAAGGTTTTCATGAGAGCAAAAAAAATGTTTATTTTGTAATTTCGCGAACAACATTTGAAGTTAAATGTTCCTTGCGAATCTAAGCCCATTTGTTACAAGAGTTATGTAAATAAATATATTCCAGAATAATTCGCCACTTCTGATCTGTAATTAAATATTTAATAAAAACTACACATAACCGATTTTGTATCAAGCATTTTGGAGCAAAATAAACATAAATTTCTTTCTGCTGGTCCTTCGGACCCCAAACAGCTATTTTATTAATCTCGTTTAGTTGGCATTTTTTAATAGGTATATGCCTAAAGGTATGCTTTAGAATATGAGAATAAGGAAAAGGTACTTAGGTACATCTAGACTAAAGTATAATCTATAACCTAGTCTATAAGTATTTGTATAGTCTATAGTGTAGTATATAATGTAGACTAAATACTAACGTCTAACCTATAATTTTGTTTATAACCTAGATTAAAATCTAGTCTATAGCCTAGTGTACATTCTAATCTATATTCTAGTCTCTAGATTAGTCTAGTCTATAATCTAGTATATAGTTTAGTCTATAGTATAGTCTAAAAAAAGAGAGTTTTCGGAACATTTTTTAAAAACAAGAGAATTTTACCAAAATTTTCTCAAAAAGAGAATTCTAAAAAAAGTATTTGAAAATTTTCTATCGAAAAGAGAAATATTCGAAAATTTTCTATCGAAAAGAGAAATATTCGAAAATTTTCTATCGAAATAGAAATATTCGAAAATTTTCTATCGAAAAGAGAATTATTTGAAAATTTTCTAAGAAAAGAGAAATATTCGAAAATTTTCTAAAAAAAAAGAGAAATTTTCGAAAATTTTCTAAAAAAAAGAGAAATTTTCGAAAATTTTCTAAAAAAAAGAGAAATTTTCAAAAATTTTCTAAAAAAACAAGAGAAATTTTCGAAAATTTTCTAAAAAAACAAGAGAAATTTTCGAAAATTTTCTAAAAAAACAAGAGAAATTTTCGAAAATTTTCTAAAAAAACAAGAGAAATTTTCGAAAATTTTCTAAAAAAACAAGAGAAATTTTCGAAAATTTTCTAAAAAAACAAGAGAAATTTTCGAAAATTTTCTAAAAAAAACAAGAGAAATTTTCGAAATTTTTCTAAAAAAACAAGAGAAATTTTCGAAAATTTTCTACAAAAACAAGAGAAATTTTCGAAAATTTTCTAAAAAAACAAGAGAAATTTTCGAAAATTTTCTAAAAAAACAAGAGAAATTTTCGAAAATTTTCTAAAAAAAACAAGAGAAATTTTCGAAAATTTTCTAAAAAAACAAGAGAAATTTTCGAAAATTTTCTAAAAAAACAAGAGAAATTTTCGAAAATTTTCTAAAAAAACAAGAGAAATTTTCGAAAATTTTCTAAAAAAACAAGAGAAATTTTCGAAAATTTTCTAAAGAAAAGAGAAATTTTCGAAAATTTTCTAAAGAAAAGAGAAATTTTCGAAAATTTTCTGAAGAAAAGAGAAATTTTCTAAAGAAAAGAGAAATTTTCTAAAGAAAAGAGAAATTTTCTAAAGAAAAGAGAAATTTTCTAAAGAAAAGAGAAATTTTCTAAAGAAAAGAGAAATTTTCTAAAGAAAAGAGAAATTTTCAAAAGAAAAGAGAAATTTTCGAAAATTTTCTAAAGAAAAGAGAAATTTTCGAAAATTTTCTAAAGAAAAGAGAAATTTTCGAAAATTTTCTAAAGAAAAGAGAAATTTTCGAAAATTTTCTAAAGAAAAGAGAAATTTTCGAAAATTTTCTAAAGAAAAGAGAAATTTTCGAAAATTTTCTAAAGAAAAGAGAAATTTTCGAAAATTTTCTAAAGAAAAGAGAAATTTTCGAAAATTTTCTAAAGAAAAGAGAAATTTTCGAAAATTTTCTAAAGAAAAGAGAAATTTTCGAAAATTTTCTAAAGAAAAGAGAAATTTTCGAAAATTTTCTAAAGAAAAGAGAAATTTTCGAAAATTTTCTAAAGAAAAGAGAAATTTTCGAAAATTTTCTAAAGAAAAGAGAAATTTTCGAAAATTTTCTAAAGAAAAGAGAAATTTTCGAAAATTTTCTAAAGAAAAGAGAAATTTTCGAAAATTTTCTAAAGAAAAGAGAAATTTTCGAAAATTTTCTAAAGAAAAGAGAAATGTTCGAAAATTTTCTAAAGAAAAGAGAAATTTTTGAAAATTTTCTAAAGAAAAGAGAAATTTTCGAAAATTTTTTAAAGAAAAAAAAATTTTTAATGAAAAGAGAAATTTTCGAAAATTTTCAAAAAAAGATAAATTTTTCTAAAGAAAGAGAAATTTTTCTAAAAAAAGAGAAATTTTTCTAAAAAAAAGAAAACTTCTAAAAGAATGTCTTAAAATGTGAATATGATTCGATGATATACCTCCAGTGGGTTAAATAGTTAGTGTTCTAGTCCGTTAGAAGGGCGGTCGTGGGTTCTATTCCCACCAGAAACACTGGTAAAGGAGCGCATAACATACCTGGAAAAATACACCTCTTCGGATTTGATGTGACAATTTATGAAAATGTTCTTAAATATGTATAAAGATTATCAATTTTAGTTTTTGTTATCGAATCATTTTAACATTCATTGCTGGTACGTTCAGTTTTCCCGTCTTCGACAGCTGATAGAAACGGTGCACTGCGGCGACATTCTCCCCCACAATACTTTTTTATTAATTTAAACCTCTTTGGATACCAGAAAAGTTCTTCGGTCTCGTCACGTCTGGCAGAATATTAGAATGTTAGCTTCGGCAAGCGGGCAAACAACGAAAATTTAAAATCTTAAATCTATTTTTAATTATTTTTCATAAAATTTCTGATCTCTTAGTTTTCATGCTCACCACCTCTTATCTTTTTCTTTGGTTTCCCTTTAATAATAACAACGTTTCTTTCGCTTATTAAATTTTTATAAACAATTTGTTTTGTTTTATTGGTAAATTTACTTTGTTTGTTGTTGTTTGTTTTTATTTTTTTTTTATACATAAATTAGGTATATACTGTTCTGTTGTAGTTGTAATTGTTTGTTGTTTCATTTCATTTAGTTCCTGTTGAGTTTCATTCATAAATCTTAAACGTTAAAATTTGTTTTTTAGCTTAATAAACAAGAATATATTTTTTATTGGGTTTCTTGTTTTCTTTTATATAAATAAACATTTAAATATATGTATGTAATAAATACATATAAAAATAAAAATTATTACAAAATACAATAAAAACATCATCTTTTAATAAGCATTAAATAATTAAGTACATGATTTTGTATGTTGTTGCTGCTATGTTTGATAAAACAAATTATTTAAAAAAAAATTAAATTAAAATGGAATATTTTATGTTTAATATAAGTAAGTAGTGGTATTTTGGCAAATTATTAAAATACTATTGAATGTAAAAACAAAGAAAGTGGAAAACAAACAAAACGTTAATGTGGGAGGGGATTTTAAAAGCATTTTTTAGGGATTTTTTAAACATTTAATTTGATAAATGCGCAAAACTTTTATTTTAAGCTTAAATGGAAAAAAATTAAAGGTAATTTATAATAAAAAATTTGCCAAACAATATGTATAAATATATATATAAAAAATATATATGTTTGAATAATTCTTATTATTTTGTTTAAACTAAATAGTGCAAAAAAAATACCTTGGCGGTAAAAAAAAATTAAGTAAAATATATAAATTCTTTAGGCGGCAAAAAATTTATGTTATTCTTGTTAACATTAAGTACAACAACAAAAGAAATATATTTTTGTTTTACTATATTTCAGCATTTTTGATTATTATAAACGGAAAATATTTGAATTTTTCATTAAATTCTATTATTTGTTTAAGATTTTTTTTTTTAATAAGGAGAGTTTTACACCAAAAAAATTATGCAATTTTTTTTGTTTAAAGACTAGTCTATAGTTTAATCTCTCGTCTAGACTAAAATATAGTCTATAGACTAATCTATTGTCTAGTCCAGTCTATAGTCTAATTTACAGTCTAGTCTATAATATAGCCTAGACAATTATCTAGACTATAGTCAAGTCAATAATGAAGTCTAAAGCATAAACTAGTGTCTAGTATAAAGACTAGTCCATACACCAAGCGAAAAGTCTAGTCTAAAATGTAATCTAGTCTATAGTTTAGCCTATAGCCTAATATATAGTCTAGTCTGCAGTCCAGTCTATAGTCTAGTCTAAGACCCAGTCTAGTCTGTAGTCTAGTGCATAGTCTAGTCCACAGTCTAATCCATAGTCTAGTCTATATGGTATATATAGTCTAGTCTATAGTCTATATTTAGTCTAGTCAATAGTCTAGTTTATAGTCTAGTCTATAGTCTAGTCCATAGTCTAGTCTATGTAGTCTATATAGTCTAGTCTATGTAGTCTATATAGTCTAGTCTATGTAGTCTATATAGTATAGTCTATGTAGTCTAGTCTATAGTCTAGTATATAGTCTAGTCTATAGTCTAGTCTATAGTCTAGTCTATAGTCTAGTCTATAGTCTAGTCTATAGTCTAGTCTATAGTCTAGTCAATAGTCTAGTCTAGTCTAGTCTATAGTCTAGTCTATAGTCTAGTCTATATAGTCTAGTCTATGTAGTCTATATAGTATAGTCTATGTAGTCTAGTCTATAGTCTAGTATATAGTCTAGTCTATAGTCTAGTATATAGTCTAGTCTATAGTCTAGTATATAGTCTAGTCTATAGTCCAGTCTATAGTCTAGTCTATAGTCTAGTCTATAGTCTAGTATATAGTCTAGTTTATAGTCTAGTCTATAGTCTAGTCTATAGTCTAGTCTATAGTCTAGTCTATAGTCTAGTCTATGGTCCAGTCTATAGTCTAGTCTATAGTCTAGTCTATAGTCTAGTCTATAGTCTAGTCTATAGTCTAGTCTATAGTCTAGTCTATAGTCTAGTCTATAGTCTAGTCTATAGTCTAGTCTATAGTCTAGTCTATAGTCTAGTCTATAGTCTAGTCTATAGTCTAGTCTATAGTCTATAGTCTAGTCTATAGTCTAGTCTATAGTCTAGTCTATAGTCTAGTCTATAGTCTAGTCTATAGTCTAGTCTATAGTCTAGTCTATAGTCTAGTCTATAGTCTAGTCTATAGTCTAGTCTATAGTCTAGTCTATAGTCTAGTCTATAGTCTAGTCTATAGTCTAGTCTATAGTCTAGTCTATAGTCTAGTCTATAGTCTAGTCTATAGTCTAATTCATAGTCTAGTCCATAGCCTAGTCTATAGTCTAGTCTATATAGTCTAGTCTATGTAGTCTAGTCTATTGTTTAGTTTATAGTCTAGTCTTTTACTTAGTCTAAAGTCGAGTCTATAGTATAGTCTTTAACCTTGTCTATAGCCTAGTCTATTCTGTAGCTTAGTCTATAGTCTAGTCTTTAACCTAGTCTAAAATCTAGTCTATAATTTAGTCTAGAGTCTAGTATATGACTTAGTCTATAGAATAGACTATAATATAGTCTACATTATATTCTATAGTCTAGTTTAGGCTATTTAACAGTTTAGCCTTTAATCTAGTCCATAGTTTACCTCATAATAATATTTTGGAAAAAAAACTCTCCTTTAATGGTTTCTTTTTTTTTTGTAAATTTCCTTTTAAGCCATATAATTATTTAAATTTTTTTCATAATTTTGTTTTTCTTTATCAAATTTTTAAGACCTAATATTTTTGTAATAACATTATTTTTTGCATTGTCTGTTTGTTTGTTGGTTTGATTTTGTTTTATGAAATAATACAATATTATTATTAAATTCTTACATGTTCATGATTTAATCAGTATGTAGTAGTAGAAGTTTATTTGTTTGTTATATATTTTCATTGTCTAGTGTCGTCTGCAGTGGTAAATAGTTTATTTTATTGTTTTCTTGTTTAAATTTATTGAGTGCCTTTTTGTAAGCCTGTGCGCCGGTGCTTAACCATTTTATTTTCTTTTCTTTCATCTTCTAAACACTACATTTTTACCAACTGTTGTTGTTACGGTTGATTTAATAACGATAATAATTGGGTTTAAAGGGACCCGCCTTATTAAGACCCATATATTTAGCCTGCTCATCAGTTAACTCGGTTAAATGAGCATCGAATGTGGGTAAATGTAAACTGGCTACATATTCATCCATTTTCTTGGGCAACAAATAAACGTCGGACTTGTAGCGTCCGGGTGGTGCATTGAAGAGTTCAATTAAAGCTAATGCTTGGGTGGCAGATGTAATTGACACAGCAAATGATGGTATACTGGAACAAGAAAGATTGACCAAACGTCCTTCGGCCAATAAGATAATATATTTACCTTCTGGCCATATAATATGATCCACTTGGGAGCGTACCTTTTCCCAGGTCAAATCCGGAGTACGTAAACTATTTACATCGATTTCCGTATTCGAATGGCCCATATTGCAAATAATACAACCATTTTTCATTTTATCCATATGCTCACGCACCACTACATTCTTATTGCCAGTGGCAGTGACCACAATGTCAACATTGCGTATTACCTCATTAAGTTTCACCACCCGAAAACCATCCATACTAGCCTGTAAAGCACATATAGGATCTATCTCAGTTATATAAACAATACAACCTTGACCCTTTAAAGCTTGAGCACAACCTTTGCCCACATCGCCATAGCCACAGACGACCACCTGTTTGCCACCAAACATCACATCTGTCGAACGTTTCAAACTGTCCAATATGGACTCTTTGCAACTATAAAGATTATCAAATTTAGTTTTTGTTACCGAATCATTAACATTCATGGCCGGTACGGTCAGTTTGCCCGCCTTCGACAGTTGATAGAGACGGTGTACACCGGTAACACTCTCCTCCACAATACCTTTGACCAATTTAAACATGGTTGGATATTTTTTCAACATTAAGTGTGTGGCATCGCCACCATCGTCTAGTATCATATTGGGTTGCCAGTTTTCAGCATTAACACAACGATCAATGCACCACCAGAAATCTTCTTCGGTTTCGCCACGCCAGGCGAAAATTGGAATGTTAGCTTCGGCCAAGGCGGCAGCAACTTCGTTCTGTAAAGTGTAAAAGTATATGGAAAAATGTTAATACTTAATACATCCAAATTAGAAAAATCATCATATTACAAAAATTAGTCCCTATGTAGAATATAGTCTAATTTACACTATAGTATTTTAACTATAGTTTAACTACAACTAAACTTGAACTGTACAATTTTATTTCAATTCTTGTTAAATTTCAGTTTAGTTTAGCTCCAGTTCAGTTCTAGTTAAGTTCTAGTTCAGTTCTAGTTCAGTTCTAATTCAGTTCTAATTCAGTTCTAGTTCAGTTCTAGTTCAGTTCTAGTTCAGTTCTAGTTTAGTTCTAGTTCAGTTCTAGTTCAGTTCTAGTTCAGTTCTAGTTCAGTTCTAGTTCAGTTCTAGTTCAGTTCTAGGTCAGTTCTAGTTCAGTTAGAGTTCTGTTCTAGTTCAGTTCTAGTTCTAGTTCTAGTTCAGTTCTAGTTCAGTTCTAGTTCAGTTCTAGTTCAGTTCTAGTTCAGTTCTAGTTCAGTTCTAGTTCAGTTCTAGTTCAGTTCTAGTTCAGTTCTAGTTCTAGTTCAGTTCTAGTTCAGTTCTAGTTCAGTTCTAGTTCAGTTCTAGTTCAGTTCTAGTTCAGTTCTAGTTCAGTTCTAGTTCAGTTCTAGTTCAGTTCTAGTTCAGTTCTAGTTCAGTTCTAGTTCAGTTCTAGTTCAGTTCTAGTTCAGTTCTAGTTCAGTTCTAGTTCAGTTCTAGTTCAGTTCTAGTTCAGTTCTAGTTCAGTTCTAGTTCAGTTCTAGTTCAGTTCTAGTTCAGTTCTAGTTCAGTTCTAGTTCAGTTCTAGTTCAGTTCTAGTTCAGTTCTAGTTCAGTTCTAGTTCAGTTCTAGTTCAGTTCTAGTTTAGTTCTATTTCAGTTCTAGTTCAGTTCTAGTTCAGTTCTAGTTCAGTTCTAGTTCAGTTCTAGTTCATTCTAGTTCAGTTCTAGTTCAGTTCTAGTTCAGTTCTAGTTCAGTTCTAGTTCAGTTCTAGTTCAGTTCTAGTTCATTCTAGTTCAGTTCTAGTTCAGTTCTAGTTCAGTTCTAGTTCAGTTCCAGTTCAGTTCTAGTTCAGTTCTGGTTCAGTTCTAGTTCAGTTCTAGTTTCAGTTCTAGTTCAGTTTCTAGTTCAAGTTCTAGTTAAGTTCTAGTTCAGTTCTAGTTCAGTTCTAGTCAGTCTAGTTCAGTTCTAGTTCAGTTCTAGTTCAGTTCTAGTGTTCAGTTCTAGTTCAGTTCTAGTTCAGTTCTAGTTCAGTTCTAGTTCAGTTCTAGTTCAGTTCTAGTTCAGTTCTATTCAGTTCTAGTTCAGTTCTAGTTCAGTTCTAGTTCAGTTCTAGTCAGTTCTAGTTCAGTTCTAGGTCAGTTCTAGTTCAGTTCTAGTTCAGTAGTTCAGTAGTTCAGTTCTAGTTCAGTTCTAGTTCAGTTCTAGTTCAGTTCTAGTTCAGTTCTAGTTCATTCTAGTTCAGTTCTAGTTCAGTTCTAGTTCAGTTCTAGTTTCAGTTCTAGTTCAGTTCTAGTTCAGTTCTAGTTCAGTTCTAGTTCAGTTCTAGTTTCAGTTTCAGTCTAGTTTCAGTTCTAGTTCAGTTCTAGTTCAGTTCTAGGTCAGTTCTAGTTCAGTTCTAGTTCAGTTCTAGTTCAGTTCTAGTTCAGTTCTAGTTCAGGTTCTAGTTCAGTTCTAGTTTCAGTTCTAGTTTCAGTTCAGTTCTAGTTCAGTTCTAGTTCAGTTCTAGTTCAGTTCTAGTTCAGTTCTAGTTCAGTTCTAGTTCAGTTCTAGTTCAGTTCTAGTTCAGTTCTAGTTCAGTTCTAGTTCAGTTCTAGTTCAGTTCTAGTTCAGTTCTAGTTCAGTTCTAGTTCAGTTCTAGTTCAGTTCTAGTTCAGTTCTAGTTCAGTTCTAGTTCAGTTCTAGTTCAGTTCTAGTTCAGTTCTAGTTCAGTTCTAGTTCAGTTCTAGTTCAGTTCAGTTCAGTTCTAGTTCAGTTCTAGTTCAGTTCTAGTTCAGTTCTAGTTCAGTTCTAGTTCAGTTCTAGTTCAGTTCTAGTTCAGTTCTAGTTCAGTTCTTCTAGTTCAGTTCTAGTTTAGTTCTATTTCAGTTCTAGTTCAGTTCTAGTTCAGTTCTAGTTCAGTTCTAGTTCAGTTCTAGTTCATTCTAGTTCAGTTCTAGTTCAGTTCTAGTTCAGTTCTAGTTCAGTTCTAGTTCAGTTCTAGTTCAGTTCTAGTTCAGTTCCAGTTCAGTTATAGTTCAGTTCTGGTTCAGTTCTAGTTCAGTTCTAGTTCAGTTCTAGTTCAGTTCTAGTTCAGTTCTAGTTCAGTTCTAGTTCAGTTCTAGTTCAGTTCTAGTTCAGTTCTAGTTCAGTTCAGTTCTAGTCAGTTCTAGTTCAGTTCTAGTTCAGTTCTAGTTCAGTTCTAGTTCAGTTCTAGTTCAGTATCGTTTCAGATCAGTTCAGTTCTTCAGTTCTAGTCAGTTCTAGTTCAGTTCTAGTTTCAGTTCTAGTTCAGTTCTAGTTCAGTTCTAGTTCAGTTCTAGTTCAGTTCTAGTTCAGTTCTAGTTCAGTCTAGTCAGTTCTAGTTCGTTCTAGTTCTAGGTTCTAGTTTTCAGTTCTAGTTCAGAATCTAGTTCAGTTCTATTCAGTCTAGTTCAGTTCTAGTTCAGTTCTAGTTCAGTTCTAGTTCAGTTCTAGTTCAGTTCTAGCTTCAGTTCTAGTTCAGTTCTAGTTCAGTTCTAGTTCAGTTCTAGTTCAGTTCTAGTTCAGTTCTAGTTCAGTCTAGTCAGTCTAGTTCAGTTCTAGTTCAGTTCTAGTTCAGTTCTAGTTCAGTTCTAGTTCAGTTCTAGTTCAGTTCTAGTTCAGTTCTAGTTCAGTTCTAGTTCAGTTCTAGTTCAGTTCTAGTTCAGTTCTAGTTCAGTTCTAGTTCAGTTCTAGTTCAGTTCTAGTTCAGTTCTAGTTCAGTTCTAGTTCAGTTCTAGTTCAGTTCTAGTTCAGTTCTAGTTCAGTTCTAGTTCAGTTCTAGTTCAGTTCTAGTTCAGTTCTAGTTCAGTTCTAGTTCAGTTCTAGTTCAGTTTAGTTCAGTTCTAGTTCAGTTCTAGTTCAGTTCTAGTTCTAGTTCAGTTTTACTTCAGTTCTAGTTCTAGTTTAGTTCTAGTTCAGTTCTAGTTCAGTTCTAGTTCAGTTCTAGTTCATTCTAGTTCAGTTCTAGTTCAGTTCTAGTTCAGTTCTAGTTTAGTTCTAGTTCAGTTCTAGTTCAGTTCTAGTTCAGTTCTAGTTCAGTTCTAGTTCAGTTCTAGTTCAGTTCTAGTTCAGTTCTAGTTCAGTTCTAGTAGTCTAGTCCGTTCTAGTTCATGTTCTAGTTCTAGGTTCATCTAGTTCAGTTCTAGTTCAGTTCTAGTTCAGTTCTAGTTCAGTTCTAGTTCAGTTCTAGTTCAGTTCTAGTATTCAGTTCGAGTTAGTCGTTCAGTTCTAGATCAGTTCTAGTTCAGTTCTAGTTCAGTTGGCGTTCAGTTCTGATTTATAGTCTGGTATATTGTCTAGTTTAAACTAGAGACTGTCTGCGCTATAATCTTGACTATAGCCTTACATATAGTATAGTGTTGCGACATGTGTTTCTAATAAAATTGTGTTTCTAATAGAAAAACCAATTTAGATAACTATATTTCATACTCGATTTTAACTATAAATGTAAACGTCTTGGGATATATACATTTGTAAATTTATTACAACTTTATAGTTTTTCAAATAAATATATTATTTGACATGTTCTGGTAGTTATAAACAATCATTACAAATGATTTAATGTTGCAAAGATCTTGCACGAAAATGCAATAAATTTAAACAAATCTTTGTTATTCTAAAATATTACAGAATTAACAACTTTAAAAATAAACATAATGATGATGATGATGACTAATGAGATTTTAAAATTTTGCATACTAAAAATGTTTATTTATAACAAACTAGTTTTAGAAACTTTTGATAACATAAATAAAAATTCTATTAAAATGACTCAATATGTGGGTCAATTAATAAACAAATTTATGCATGTTATTAATAAAAATCCCCTTAAATAATTTGTTTTCAATCAATCTTATTTTAAAAAAGTATACAAAATCATTTAAAGAATTGAGCTTTTTGCTAATTTAATAATTAAATTTGCAAAGGAAAAAATACAATAAAATTTTTTACTTCATTTTAAGTAAAATTTGAAAAATGGGTTTTAAATTGATTTGTTAGGAAGGCAAATAAACTGTTAGTAGAGAATAAATTGTATGAAAGTCTCCATTTAAAAACAAACTTTTGTCATGATCTTGTATTATTCGTGGAATTTTTGTTTAGTATTTTGTAAATTCAAACAAATTCCACAATTAAAGCTTTAAATACTATGAATAACATTTGGGTAAATAAAAAAATTTCAAATGTATTGTAAATAGACATACATATTTATAATAATACTCTTCATTATTATTTTCTAAATCTCTCTAGCAATGATTATATATTATAAACAATTTTTTTATGATGCTCTGTTGTCTCTTGACAAGGTCATTAATATTAAAAATTTGTGCATGTGACAATAATTTACTGCACAAGTGCATCTTTGTTTATTTTTTTTTGTATGTGCCATTAGAAATCAATTAGATATACCCTTTATACCTTTGCCACATGCTACCCTTTTCCTAAGACAGTTTGAATTTTTTTATATATTTTCTTTAAGCTATTTTTTTTTTTTCAAACAAACATTAAATTCAGTAGCAGCTACAGTCATACGTAAATATATTCATTCCCCTTAACCATATTTATATTTCCATCAACATTTTATTTATTTAGCTTGTTTTATTATCTTTAGATTTTTTCTCTTTTTGTCTGTGTGCTTCGTTAATGCCGTAATAATATATCTCATTATCTTTTTATCTATAAAAATACAAATATACAGAATACAGGAAATCAATTATAATGTTATAGTAGAAGAAAATTTGTTTGTCATTAAATTCAGTGGCTGAAATAGACATTTTGTATAT